TCCACCTTTGATTTTCCGATTGGAACATACCACACAGTTTTTATTACTCCTTCCTGTATCATCTCGTCGAATAATATGTGAAAGGCCGTTCAGCCTTTCTCTTGTTCCAGAAATTGAAGGATTCTTGGGATCAGTGTCACGAAAATCTCCAACTAATTGATCCAAGCGAATTGCAAATGCGTTATTTTGCTTTTATTCTGTTTCTCCTGGTTTGCGTTATATAATAAATAAGAATTTATTTATTAATAAATTATTGAACTCTAATACCCCATTTGGTTGGTTTCTTCGGGTTGTAAGTAATAAAGGGAATCCGACCTTTGAACTTGATAGTAGATTCATCCACACAAGTTTCTCTTCCCGGTGTAAAATACTTCAAAAACTTCGAATTTATATAATCAAGGAAGCAGCCTAGCCTACTAGCTGTGTAAGCGTGTTTGTGGATCTGCATCTTGTGTTGGGATTGTCTTTAGATGAAGCATCCAAAAAATCTGGTTGAATCTATCTCTCGTAAACTTGTGTGAATAAAAAGGAATGTAACTGATATCATTCCGTGATCAATACTCCGTACGTAAATTTGCCAACGGCATTGTCCCCATGTCCATCATAACACCAATAAATGCCCACATTTCTTCGATAGGCACATTGTGCCAAGTTCGCCATAGTTCGAGTACGGTGATAATGTCTTTCCTTCTAACTTTTTTCTAGCATAATTATTTATTTCAATAACTATTTCATTCACGAGTTCATTGGTAAAAAACAGTTTGAAAAAATCCAATGGTTCTTTCTTATCTGGGAGTACGTGCGGTCCTGCAGCAGTGTCGCCGGCTATGAATGGTATTCTTGAAGGTATCTCTTTAGATTCAGTACAACTAATCCATTCAGAACTGTCCGATTGTGAGTCTTCTATAGTATCGGTATCGCTGTCACAATCACTGTCTATTACTCTGATCTTTCGTCTTCTTACACCTCTTACTTTGTCACTATCATCAGCACTGCTGTTATTCTCTGTATCGTCAAGCTCTCTGTGTATAGATGTAACTTCCTCGTTAAGCAACGTTAAATCAAACTCATCTTCACTTGAGCTTATATCTTTACTTCGTTCCATGCTTAAAGGGATCAAAAACTTTAACTTTAGTAGTCCTGCCACGACTGTCAAGTGCCGAACTAGTGCCGAACATGCAGTCAGATTCGTGGTTGCGGACTAATTTCAGATAAGAAAATCTTATCTCAATTTGAAGGGGTGTCATGTTACACTTCATAAGATTATACAGAAAGAGCGTAGGAAACTCTCCCGCTTCAACGGAACTAAATGTAAACAGTCATTGCCGCGCATCGAGTTTCCGCATCAAACCAAGTGGTGAGTGAGAGTCACCTCTCGAGTGCAAAGGGTTAATATTGTTAATATAAATTTGCGTGTCTGTGTTTTCTTCTTCTTCTATTGCTATTCTTCTGTTGATTGCACTTTTGTACTTGTTTTGTACTGCATACTATAGTTCATTGAGTCCTCTTCTAACGTGGATATTATAATCATTAACATTTTCATTGGGTAGCTGATAAGTGTTGGCCAATTTCGCTCTGGCTACTGATATCGTTATTGGTGATGTCACATGTGTACCATATCGGAGTGCGCATCATATAATTCTTCGAAGAATCATCTTGTCCTTTAAGCGTTCTAATCGTTGTAGCTTTTGCACCTGTATTGCTTTTATCTTCTTTCTTTTCGTTAGCTACACTTGTTTCTTGACTATCGTTGTTACTTTGATCTACGCCTGGAATCGTCAGTCGTTTGCTACACTTGTTCCTAGACGTGCCTGGTTGACTGCTATCATCGGTCATATAGGCATGAGTTTATTTGCTAATTATACAATTTCTCTCCTATTATCTTTTTCATCTATCAGTTTTAGAATCGTTTCTATATTTTTGTTAATTTCATTCATACTCTTGTTCATACTGACGGCAAGTTGGCTTATCTTGCCATCGAGTGTTTTATAAGCAAGACTATCTTGATGCATCTCCTCTGAGAATGACGAAATTTCTTTGTGCAGGCGATTAGTTTTTAAAAGACGTTTTTACCTTTTCAACTTCTCCAATGAATTGACCGTAGTCCTCCATTCTTTGGTGCGTCGTAACGTCTGGCGTTTTGGAGTTTATCCTTAGATGGACTGTTGAGGATCCTGGCAGGATTGCCAAAATGTCACGATTCAAATGCGAAATGTCACGGTTTAAACGCAAAATAATAAGACTGTACTTGGTTTAAATTTTATTTAATAGCTCTCGTTGACTGTTCAGTCGTAACTGATGTCATTACAATCCCAGAGTCGTACCAGGCGCCCATCGCCGATTAATTGTGTGGTGACGCAAGTAAAGAAATTTTTTTAAGGGTGGTCGTCACAACGCCATCTTCGCTCGACGCGTTCGTGCGCATCTCACTATTATTAGGCGGCCAAATTTACAACGTATCAGAGAATCAGAGATGATTACCTTTGGTGTTAGATTTTTCTGACGTAAAAACGCGGTTTGTGGCTCGGTGACTAGGAAAGAAACACAGGCGATAGAACGCGCTGAAATTGTATATGTTTTATCCGAGAAGCGTACATCTCCTCATGATTGTTGATTGCGAGTTGAGATTATTGCTCCCGATGAAAAGAATGCTATGCCAAGCAGCAATGCGGAGAACTGTCGGGAACAATATGGAAATCGACGTCTCTTCCGAATACAGAAAGTCGAACGTGGCCGAGTGTTTTAACTTTTTCCGTAATTCCTTGGAGAGTTATGACTAACTGAGAGTTTAGACACTAAATCTAATCAAAGCGAAAATTAGAGTTTAATTGAACTTGAAGTTCATTCCAATCATTTAATCCAGAGAAATTTTTTGAATTTGACGTTAAATTGTCACAGAAATTCATTACAGTTAAGCAAACACAATAATCTGGCATTCACTGTACAAGAATTAATATAAAATATGGATTTGCAAAATGATTTTCTAAAATAAATTATATAAATGACGTAAATTCGGAGGGGTTGCGATTCGTCCAAATTGTTCGAGATTGCTCGCATCGAATTACTCTTTCCTGCTGATCTCATAATCAATCTCTTCCGTTGATCATTGTTCTGTTTGACATAAGCATAGAGGAGCTATATGGTATTTATACCTCGTCTGTGCTGAAGATATACAATTGACAACACTATAAAAGATATCATTTTCTTGAATCACCGTTGTTTCAGCATAAAGAACGCTAAAAAACCAGTGATATTTTTCCTGGTCGGTATTTCAGACCCCATTTGATGTCCGGTCTATCCTAATTAGTCAATGGTAGTACAGTAATATTTTGATCATCGAAAGTAGGTAAAGTCGCAGCCTCTTTCAATGCAAAACGTGAAGCATCTTCGTTGTCGTCGGTCTCTAGATTCACGTCGCGAAGAGCGCGATGTGCGTGCTCGTAATCGCTGCGGAAAGAGCGCGGTGGCGATAGTTGTGATCGAATCGTTTCTAATTTGTGGCGTAATTGCTCCATCTCGCGGACCATATTTTCATATATATCGCTACATTTGTCTAGTTGATATAAATAATTTTTGAATGGTAGCAACTTTTTCATACGTTACTTATGGAGGATTTTCTCCAGATTTTTTCTTAGAACGCGTAGTGGACATTTTGAAGGAAGAATGTACTCACTGGTATTGAAATGTATGTTTGCACCAAAGTGCTACTACTTTCGGCACAATGTTGTTTTTTAGTCGAGGATATCCTCTGACAAATGTGACGAGAACATGTAATCTTCGTGATGATGTATCTTGATTGATTTCATATCCATGATTTCAAAACTCGCAGATGTTTGATTGTATCCTGTTTCGTCTTCGGATGATAATGTTAGATCGATTAATTTCGGTACTTCGTTCGCGACTTGATTGATATCTTTCTTCGTTTTCTCCTTCTATGTTTTCTACGAGGCTGAATTCGCGGGTTATAGAACTTGTACGATTAATTTAATGAATTAGAGATTAAAAAAAAATTTCTACCTGCTCGGTACTAGGTGGTTTCATTTCCGTAGCAAGATATATTTGAAATGGAATAGTTCTCTGAACTTGTTAACTTGTCGCCAAAGGACGCGCAAATTCGTCAGCACGTTGAACGTGAACGAAAGGAAAAGTGATTGTAAATTAAATAAATCGTCCGCCAAATGGCGCGCTGTTTACAAGCATCGAGTCATCGAAACGAAAAGGTTATATTTATTAGGCACTTGGAAATGGAACATTGTCTCACTGGTTACTGCACTTTTTTTTCTACCTTTTCCTGCACGTTCCGACGTGCAGTTTTCCGACAGTTCGAAATTAAACAAGAAAAATGCTGCTCTAGTTTTCACGAAAACGGAATGGGAGAAATCGTGCGCGCGTAGTGGGAGTAGAAATGTGGCGTTATGCAGTTCGCAGTGGTAGAAGGGGAAGAGCGGATTAGCGTAAGGATACTGCTGATATAAAAAATATATATATAACATATATATATTTATATATATAACATATATATATTTTTTAATTTTGAGATTTTTCTCGTTGCCTGAAATATCGGTCTTCAACTGACTACGATGATTGCAAGAAGATCCCGCTGCTGCCATCAAATTTCGTTTGTCACGTCCCAGACGTCGATTGGCGAGAAAAAAGAAATAGCTTTCGCGAATTCTCTCCGGACCTCGTGTAGAATTGCAATCTATTTAACCCAGCCGGTGCGTACATCCGACTTTGGCAGGGATCTTCATTCAGGTTGATTATCCTCTTGATCCAATGTCCTTGTTGATGGTGGCATTCATTCAAAGCTGATGAGAATTAATTTCCATGGAAGGTAAACCTTTTGCGTTAACGGGCAAACGGTACGTTTTCAAATTACGGTATAATTCGCGCACTAATTTCCTTAATTGATATTTACGTCCTCCGCTGCGCGTTCGCGGCATTCGCGGAGGCTGTTCGCGCGTGCTTTTACAAGGATCTGTGCAGCTGAATCTGTACTTCTTATTCCAATAAATAATAAATTCACTGGAATTACAATCGTTATTGAATGGCCGTGCACAACTGTCTCTGCACCTTTTACATTATAATCAGCTATAACAAAGAATTCTTTAAGAGCAAGATCAAGAACAATTATTTTAATTGTAATTATTTATTGAATTATTTTAATTAAATAAAGTGACATTGGATTTATTCATGCAATCGTAATATATTCTTTAGATTAATGATTCGTTACAAACTTGTTACAGTTTAATTATTCGACGATGATTACAATAATGATTTTACGTTACGCTTCGGTTTCAGAGTTGATTTATTTATTTATTTAATACTTCGAGGAATACTTCGAGTTAATCGCTTATTTATTTAATACTTCGTGGAATACTTCGAGTTAATTGCTTGCTGGAGTGCCACTTGACTTCGTTAATGAATTATTATTGAGGAAAGTCAGGCCAAGTGAGTCTGGTACTTGAGCTACGGATTAATTGCGATGATCTGGTTAAAATACGCGACGGGAAACGAGCATTCGAGAGAGTATTACAATAAAGTGTGTCAATGTGTGTGTTTCCCCAATTTCTAGTTTTCCTGAGGTGGAGATTAGAGTGAGGATAGATTTTAGAAGATGTCTTTGTTTCAAGTGGATCAAAGATTCTGGATCTGTTTCTAGGCGGATTGTCTTTGAAATGATTGGAAATGTTGTAGCGGTGCAAGTCGGCATTTTGTCATGTTTTACTGTCGGCTTAACACTTTTCATTACAAAGAAGATTAAAACATTCTTATTCCTAACGCGGTTACAATAGTACGCGGAAAATATTCTAAATAAAGAGATAATATTACACGTTCGCTTTCTATATAATAACATTTTTATTTCTAACGTTTACGGAATTAATAATTCCATCATAATTAAGATTATAGCTGAATGATACAATGTTTAATATAATTGTTTAATATAATTAATTATTCAAATAATGTTCTATAATATTCTTTCAGACATTTTTTCATACGTTTGTCACATTCGGTACATCTGTTTATAATTCTTTAACAACATTCTCTTAATATGGTTAATATTCTCGATTTCATTATTATTCGTGACTTATTTTTTTTTACTCCGATATGTCTAATATTCATTTCTCAAGTATAATATAAATTTAAGATTCCTTCATAATATTCGTATTTCTTTCATCACTTCGCTCGGATACATGTATGTTTCTCTCGATGACATAATATTCGTATAATGTTTTGTACAGACGGTAATATGTGTCATTCTCTTAGTATGTTATAATACGTGAGAGGAAAGTATACACTCTTAATATAATAATTATTGAAAGATACAATTAATGTATCTTCTCTGAAAGATATAATTAATGTTGAATAACTATGAATAATGATTAATAATTATTACATAGCAAACGTTGGTCACCGACGTCGCACCTCCCATTCAGCGGAAAGATTTTTCATCGCAAATGAAAATTGCGTTGGGAATGGGGTGAACGTTGAAATAAAGTTTGCATGTAGTGTCACTTTCTTTGCACTGCGTTTGAATACGTTCACGATCGTTTGATTTTCATCTTTCACTTTGAAGTTCCATCTTGAGGTTGTGACTAAAACGAAGGGATTTTGATCGTTCTCTGCTCTGCTCTGCTCTGCTCTGCTCCGCTCCGATTCGAGAAAGAATGTCGAATTGTCAGAATGGCTTTCTGAGTGTGGCGGAGTCCATTGATGTAGCGCCGTTGAATGAGATTGATTGCGAATCGAATGACTTGGCGCGTTGTGTTAGGTCATGGTTCTATATATACAATGACGTAGGTAGCTTACAATTTTAGACGGCGGTATTCTTACAACGTATTACAAGACGGTGTTAGGGAAAATTTCGTTAGCTCCAAGGAGTACGTGAGATACGGATGTCATTTGTTATTTTAACGTACCCTTGCCCGAATGTGGTCATATTAGAGACTGCGCTGTGTCACACGACACTCCAGGGCTTTGTTAGGCGTGAAACAAAGATTGCCCGGATTGTCAAGGGTTTGTGGCGTTTTGGAGCTGTTTGGAGCTCAAGCCACTTGTTGGCCACAACCCTTTATTGCGGATCTGGGCTTCGGATGGGAACTTTCCCGAACATTGACGAAAGAATAGAATTCTTTTGGCTTCGCGATCGTGCGGTTCAGCTCTCAAATTCCACCGGAGAGCACATGCGGACCATCTCTCGATCAACTGTTAACACCGAAGGGAACCATCCCTTGATAATCAGGCACGCGACAACCATACTGTTAGGTCCTGGTGGTAATTTATATAATTTTTTTAAATATCAAGAGCGTAATTTATATAATTTTTTTAAATATCAAAAGCCCTGGAGTGTCATGCTGAGGAGAGTTTAGTATAATTTTAATATTATTACTACGATTAATTCGTGCCTGCACTTTAAGTGCTCGTTTTAATTCATTGTATTGAACTACTCTTGGCTTGCGTTTATACGTGATTTTGATATTATTTTCTAAAATTTTTAGAACGCGGTAAGGACCGGTGTATTCCGATTCGAACTTGCTTCGCTTTGGTTCTCGTAGTGAGTACACATTGCCTGTCGGAGAAAATTGCCAGACGTTTGTTTTCCTAGCGTAGTAATATTTGGAAAGGATTTTAGACTGGTTCAGGTTTGTTCGTGCTAGTTCTGTCGACTCTGATAGTTTAATTTGCAAGTTTCGGAAGTGACTGAAAATAAGTTCGTGTGGAGTAAATCTCGTGGCTTTCATGAATTTGTGTTATACGAGAACGTGGCTAAATTGAGCCACTCGTCCCAATTATCACGTGAAATATAATGTTTTAAATATTCTATTAGTGGTCGTTCTATTGAACCATATTACTTTGTGAAAGGCGGTAATTCGGAATTGCGCGATTCTTAATCTCTTCGTTACAGTGCGGAAAAGAAATTAGAGTCCTGGTCGGTTAATTGATTTTCGGATAAACCGAATCGATGAATAAAATGGTTCTTGAATGCGTCAGCTGTATCGCGCGCGGTGGGTTGTTTGATCGGGATTTCTAAATATTGATTAATAAATCTTGGATTGTTAACCCCTCTGGGAGACGTCATTCATTTCATGTGGCATTGTAGACTTTGACGTCACCGAGACGTCCAGAACTGTCTCGAGCGGACGCTGTGCAGTATATTATTAGATTATTCAATTATTTCACTATATCAAGCAGTCATGATTCTGACGTAGCAGAGAATGAATGGAATTGGAAAGAAAAAGAAAATATTGTAAATATAAAACAATATACTGAAACTTCCAGTATCAATGCTCTTGTTTTACGAAGATTGGGAACAAATGCAACACCTCTGTGTGTTGTAAAACAAGTTTTATGTGACTGTGATTTTTTTGAAACGATAGTCAGAGAAACAAAAAGATATGCAGCTCAAATGAGAATAGAACAGAATACGAAAGTGAACGAAGAGTGGTTTTCAATAACAACTGATGAAATTAGAGCATATTTTTCGTTATGCATTATAATGTCACAGGTAAAAAAGTCGAAAATAGACATGTATTGGTCACTTAATTGTTACTTAATTATTGTTCATTAACATTATATATCGACCTGATTGAATGTTATATAACAATATAAATTTCAAAATAAAACGTTATGTTTCTAAGCGTGCACGTAACAGTTCAGTTGAGCCAATTTAAATAGTATTTTTCGGACGCATCAAATTCCGTTTTATTTGTATGCCAAGCGGTTAAAATGTAGGAGTTGCTTCGAGGAGTAATGGGTCAGATAAGAAATCCGACAATGTCTAGCGAGACTATCAAACGTGCATCCTAGTTGTTTTGTTTTTACACGAATTAGTTTTAACAATAGGCAACTTTTAGAATTTTATATATTTTTCAGGATTTTATATATTTTTGAATGTTCGATTTTAGTGAAGGCCAGAAGTATTTTTCTCGTATTCGTTGATAGGTTTTGTAGATGTTTTTTGTGGCTGGCAAATGAAAAGACGTGGTTCTCTGTTATGTTGTTTCGATGATCTACCGGCAAAATCGAAATTTAATTGGAGCATGCGGAGATTTGTGTGGGTAACTATGAGAATAATTCTATTAGATATTCGCGCATGGTAGTACTTCGAGGAACGTCGTCTAGTGAAAAATGTGATATTGAAAACGAATATAGAAATCGTGGTTTAGAGGAATTAATTAACATCTCCCTTACTACTAGTGGAATATATCTTAATTTTTTAAAACTTCGATCCTACCTTTTGGCACACCGATCATGACTGACTGATTTTCTTTATTCCTTCGACCCTTGTTCTGCACTCTTACATCACTCACACAATCGTTCGCATCTCACGCATTCACTCATCCATTTTCACATCTTTGCCGCGCCTCATGACAGCGTTCAAGGCGATAAATCGCCGAAGATCGAGAACGCTTAACCCTTTCACTATGGCAGTGTGCTCCGTCGGAGCGACACCGTTGAACGGGCCACCGTGCCGCCGGAGTAGCGGCACTGAACGGAGCACTGCGCCGAAAAGTGTGCATGTTGCGCTTAGGTAAACTGGTGTTCGGACTTGCATCTTTCGGTGCAGCCTCGTCATTCTCCGGATCGTACGATTCTTTAATTGTTATACAACAACATATTTGGATGATTTTGCAATTATTATCAATAAAAATATATTTAAAAATTAAAAATTACACTTTACAATAACAAACAACAAACACTTCCCAATAATAAATTAAAATTCTCAATAATTTAATTTACAGTGATAAATTTTAAAGCAAGAGTCGACACCACAATCCCACATTACAGTTTTTGCATTCATACACAGTTTCGCGTCTTTTGTCGTTCGCATAGCAAACGACACACCTTCTTTTGGTTTTTTTTCCTACCGATTTATAAACCGACGGAAAATGTCGTTCTATTAATCTCAATGGATGATTATTCCCCGTTCGATGTGGATGACTTATACTTTCATGGTACTTTCCTAGTATCTCCCTAATTAGTTGCAATTGAAATCTTGCCATAGATATCGATCGTTTCATCTTATGCTTGTACAAACAATAAGCGTTCCAGACGCAAATGTCCACCAAATGGAAGAAAAATTTCCGGTACCATTTCAAAGATTTCGGCA